GGTGGTGGCGAGGGGGGAAATACAGAGGATGGTGAGGAAAATAATGGATAAAGAAGAAGGGAATGAAATTAGAGAGAGAGTGAAGAAGCTCAAAAACAGTGCCCAAAAAGCCATCTCTAAAGGTGGATCCTCCTACAATTCGCTCTCTCAGGTCGCCGGAGAATGCCATATATTTTCCGGCGAAAGAGACAACCTCACGTCACTTTAAATTAGTTTGGTAATTAAAGACGCTGTATCTCTGGTTTTTCTATCATAAAGATAGATAATAGTCACTTTTTTTTTCATTTTTTTTTACTGGAAGACGTGGATCGAAAGAATTTGAATTCCCAATCTTCTAGCTAGATATAAGTATTAGATTTTAATGTATGAAAGAAAGTGAAATTTAAATAAATTTATTCGCTTATACGTACGTCGGGAATATATTTATTTCTTTAATAGTTTTGTTTCTTTGATTATTAAACTTTCTATTTTAAATGAAAAGCTTTTTCTTTATTATGTTAAAGTTTCGTGAGTAATATAGGTAAAAGAAGTTACATATGTGTTTAAGTTAACTTGAGATGTTACATGTTTGAATATTCTCATTCTCTTGCAAGAATTCTCTCTTCTTTTGTCTTGTTGTTCTTGTTTGTGTTCAGAGCAAGTATCTAAAGAATTTTGTTGGATCGTAATAATTCGAGGTTATTGTACTATCGGAGTTAGTCATTGTATCCTACTGAAACAGTCGTGGTAGTCTGTTAGCAATTTGTGCAAAGCAAATAACTATCTTCAGGTCATCGCTATTGAAGCGTGCCTCGACTATATTTATCAAGTTTTTGTATTCATCGAATTGTCAGAATTTATATTGTTTATAGTCAGATACGTTGTAATCTATTTGACAGTATTATTCAGTTTACATGTACAATAACCAGATACGTCGTATATTTATCGAACAATAAATGTTTTAAACCGTTAATCATATTCAGGTTTGGCAAATAATAGCATACTTACTTACAAGTTAGTACTCATGTTTGATTGACTACTACTAAATTTTGATTAGGTAAGATAAAAATGTTAGAAATATTTTTTAAAACTATCAAATTTTTGTCTATTCCTATACTTCTATATATATATATATATATATATATATATTAGAAGTTCTAAATATTGTTCATTTGAATTATGCGATAAACATGTTTTATCATTTATGTGATGATGGTTTGCATTTTTTATTATTTTAATTTATTAATTTTCTAAAATATATAGTTCAACTGATCAAGATATATTATTTTAAAAAGAAATTGATCAAGATATATATTTTGATTAAAAAGTCGTAAATTCTAATTTTCATCCTATTGTTGTACTAAAAGAAAATTATTTAATAACTCAAAAAAAAAAGAAAGTTACATCAATATTCACCATCAAATTAAGTGATTATCTAAATTAATAAACTACGTAAATCACTTGAATTATTATAGAAAACAATAATCCTAAAATTTATGTGAAATAGTTTAGTTTATTGAGAGATCTCTTTGACTTACCAGAGAAAGATATCTATGCTTTCGGTTTCCAAATTTAGTTTGTTTTTGTCTTTGTACTATCAAAACATTTATTTTAGTCCTCGTACTTCATACGTTCATCCATGTACAATTGTTCGTTTTAATCCTTGTATTTTTTTAAAGTTATAATTTTGGTTCATTCATTTTTTTCTTTTCAAAATAAATGTTTACAAAGCATAGGGGCTAAAGTGGATAAAAATTGAAAGTACACAAACAAAATAAACGTATTTATAATATAAAGATCCAAACGAAATAAAAAGTTGAAAATAGATAACAAAAATAGTATATTTTAAACCTTTAATTTTAGATGGCATGGAAATGAAATCCGATCCCCCGCATATATTAATAAAGAAAAGAATAGAGTAGAGGAAAGTTAGATTATATTCATATTGACATTTATAGGGCAGAGTGAGAATTGGAGAGGAGGGTAAGTGTAAGCATGAAAATGCAGAATAGAGAGAGAAACAAGTTAGGAAGGTGGTTTGAGAGGGCCGGTGACGATGTGCCGGTGGCCGGCCCACCGACTTTAGAGGAGCCGCCGTTAGTGGCATTCTTGCTGACCGGCGGGAGCGGCGGGTCCACGATATCCCCCACATTCAACGGCGGGAATGGAGCATCGGCCGGTGGTTGAGCATACTCCGGGACCAAATCCAGCAGCGAACCTATTTCTGGTGGCATGATTGAATAAGAATCATTTCTTGGCAAGTTGGTCCTGCATGGACAAGCTGCAAACGTAGACAAAAATTATAATGATCAGTTAGTTATGTTAGTTATGTTATTTTATTAATTGAGCAAAGTTTTGGCCAGGGTACTGACTTATGTATCTACTGGCACTCTTAGGGAACTCGGTGATGACGCCGTCCACGTGGAAGAGGTCCACGTAGGTGGCGATCTCCATGGTGGATTCGGAGAAGAAATCATAGGCCAAAGACACGTATTCGTTCCTCATCACGAACACGAAGACCGTGAGATTAGCAGCTTGCATCTCTTTCACCACTTTGGTCACGCCGGTGGTGAAGTAGTTGGTGATCTTGATGACGGAGGCTCGAGGGATGGCCACGGCTTGTGCATGGTGCCTGATCTCCTCCAGGGGCTTCATCGGGGCGTCGCCTATCTTGGTATCTACCGTCAACACTCGAGTGTAGTTTGGAATTTTTTGGAAGTTAGACAGCACCGAAGTGTCGTCTGATCTAATGAACACTCGCTGGTTCTCCAACGTAGCGTTTTTCAGACTGTTCGTCACGATTTCTATTATGTCCAGACCTTTCTTTGCTGCTAAGTACGACGCATGCTAGCAAAACAAGAAACAGAAACGTTAACAAACAAACCAAAACAACAAGAACAAGAATGCAGAATCTAGGCAAGTAGAGAAGTTAGTTACTTGAATGTTGATCATAACCCCAGCAACAGCTTTGGCTTTAGCGAAGTCAAGAAACTGAGAAAGGGTAAAAAACTTGCCCTTGTTCTTGAAGGCCGGATTTCTCTGGATCCCGGAGGTGGCCATGAAAGGGTTTGTGATTTGAGCTGTATTGAGAGAAAAAGAAAGGTAAGCAAAAGAAAGAAAGAAAGTAGTAAAAGTGGTAAATGGGAAATGATATGGCATTACGCATGAGAGTGAGAATCT